CCCGCACCCTGACACTATCGACCCCGTTTAGGCTAAGAAACTAGGATATATATACCTACTCTCCGCTAGCTAGGAGTCTTTTTCGATAGGAGGCTAACGTAGAGAAGCTATATACTTACCTAAGCGGGTAAGGCCCGCGCTATCGCCTAATGTATCCGCAATCTAGCCTGTATAACCTATAGCCCGCCCGCGAGCTTACTTCGTAAAGCGGTTATTACCTATATTATCCCCTCTGTAACTTTCGGAACTAAGGCCTAGTATAGCGGCCGGAATAGGCCTATAAAATAGGCTAGTAAGGGCACCGTTAGCGCCTATTTCGGCTAGTATATTAACATCATCGAGTCGACCCTAGCACTCGCTATCCGCGGCGTCCTCCCTATATAGCGCAGCACACTAACTACCTCACTCTTTAGGGACGTGGGTGTCACGGTGCGAACCGTGATGCTTAGTTGGAGGAAGATCACGGCACGTGATCTCCGACCTGTTTATCTGAACTTCAGTTCTAGATCCTGTTGTAGCTCTTCGAGCTACGTCTTGTATAATAGCCTGCCCCTGCCTGTACCTGTCAATGGGAATCTGATCTGTTACGACCTGTTCCTACCAGTCATCTCCTATCATACTGTCCTGCCAGCCCGCACCCTGACAAAGGAGCTTAGTGTTTACATAGTAGCGTAGCCTATATTTTCACCGGATTTAAATCCTATAAAAGCTATATAGAATTAGATCAAGGATTAGATAGAGGAGAAGTATAGAGATTTGTATATAACGCCTACTACACTCAGAGGGGTTATTCGTGAAGGATACTATACCGGAGGATTTCTTAAATAGGCTAATTAAGAGTATACCTACTTAGTGCTAAGCGGTTATTGATACTTGGGGGGCTTGCTACTAAATACTTAGTGTAATGTATAGTAGTAGTAGTATTGTACAAAAGAAATTGTTGTATATTGTATGTGAGAGAAATGGAGAGTTAAAAGGTTAAGAACCCTGTTTTTCAAAAGAATAATGCAGTATCAAATTGTAAAATACCGTGTTAAATACCATGCTAATTTATACGCTAGTGCCGCCACTGTGGAGGTGGTGAATCTTTATAGGGTAGACTGTTGTATATGAGATTGTGAATCTCCATGATTTGGGCGAACTGACGCTCCTAGACTGATTAGCCTAGACAGTATCGAATTAGAGCCCGAGAGGTCCCGAAATATGGACATTTAGTGCAGAAAGAACAACTGTGGATATGATATCGATGGAGTAATAACACGGCCAATAATTTTCGCCAGTCTTGAAACCACCTAAGTTTTGAAGCATTTGGTCTGACGATTTTTCTCTTTTATCGGGATTTGATATGCAGACGCGTGGATTCGTACGACTTCCCGCCACGTTCCCAATTGGTAGTTTCTCGGGGCCACGCTAGTACATCCAGATGCCTATGGAGTACACCTGCCTGACTTCTGTAGTTAGTACGTCGTAAAATCTAGTTGTATTTATGCTGCCCCACTGTGTATTACAACAAGAGGGTCAAAAATGATATTTTTAAGTTTAACGGCGCGCAGAGCCATTGCCAAGTTCTCCACCGTCTCATAACAACGGATAAACCCTATTTTCCAAGGTTGCCTTTCTACAAGACTGAAACTTCGCGATTTCACAGAGAGACTAATGATTGTAGAAAACATTTCCTCCAATGACATCGGTCTTTGTCAAAGCCTGTTTAATCTTCTTATTCAACATATTCTCAATATTTCACTTCACGTAAACACAAGACGACATGCGATGGTAACAAGAAAATAACGTAGATGTTAGTTCCCGTGAAGCTTTATGTACTTCTTTTTTATGCACGCCATGCATCCATGAATACGCAATGTCAAGTTTGTATTGGGGTGGGGATATGTATCAGCTAGAGTTCACTAACACTGATTGGGTGTTTTGGAACCTAAAGGCTATACTCCCTCACTAACTTATCCGCACAGATTGCGCCAGTGACATACGCAGCGGCCTGAACATGCGCATTCACTAACACCGGCACAACCGACATATCTGCCACGCGTAGATTCTCAATACCTAGCACCCTGAAATCCGGATCCACGACTGCGTCTGCATCGTTCTTTGTGCCCATCTTCACAGTTCCCGTCATGTGCCAACTTGACGTGATATTCTGCCGCCAATATTCTAGAAGGTCCTCATCTGACTCTCCTTTAGGCATTGCCAACTCCGCCACGTTATCTTTGGTGTAGGATTCGTGCTTTGCGACGCGGAAGGAGTCGCGCAAGGCCTCGATCGCCAGTCGACGGTCGAACGGGTGAGCCAGGAACTTGGGGTTGAAGGAGAGCGGAAAGTCAGGGTCTGAAGATTGCAGTGTGACTTCTCCACGAGTCTGCGCGTTGTATAAGAAGACGAGAAGACAGGAGTAGTTCAACGCCTTGTTTGGGAAATCCGGGATGACCCAGTGAGCGGGGAAATGGGTGAGGATCTCGTAGTGTGGCACGGTTTCTTGAAGAAGATACTTCTGTTCATCTGCAGGAAGTGACTTGAATTCTGGCGTGGAAACAAGCTGCTCGGTCAGCTTGAACCAGCCGATGCCCAACTCGCAAGCAAACTTCGCCCAAGGGCCTGTCCCGTCTTCATCCCATTGCTTTTGCGCAGCCTCCATGGCGGCTTTGTCGCCATAAAAGGCATTTCTGTCCGTGCTGGTTGCTGTGCGAGTGTTCACCATCGGCACGAAGCAATGATCACGAAGACCCTGGCCGATGGCAGGTGCATCGTGGACGACAGGGATTCCATATTTCTGGAGTTGGGCAGCGGGGCCTATGCCTGAGTGCATCAGGATTCGGGGGTCGTTTAGCGAGCCGGCGGATAGAAGGACTTCCTTTGAGGCGTAGTCTGTTTGCAACTATTAGTACCTAGTCATCTCGCCGAATGGGGGTAAATCGCATATTCACATTTGTTCCCGTTTGACTCAACACCCACAGCCTTTTTCCCCTCCAGCAGGACACGCTGTACAGGGGCCCCAGTAATGATAGTCAAATTATCGAGTTTCTCTTTGACCAGATCTCCTGCTGTCGAGCGCCATCCCTTGTGCGCCGAGTTAATCAGCACCGACATACCAATCGGATTTCCTGAATTATGATCTGGGTTCAACGGGAACCCAGCCTGCTCGAAAACACTCAAGAGGTCTGTCAAATCCCGCTCCCACTCCCGCGCAAAGCCCACATGCAATGGGCCCTCACTTCCATGGTTCTCCATCTTCGGATCCACATACTTTCTATCTACGCCCTCTGGAATCTCCGCATGGAACGTCTCCAGATCCTTGTACTTTTGCTGAACACTTGCCCACGCAAAAGTCTCATCGCCAACAATTCTCGCCCACTCTTGGTAATCGTCGCGCGCACCGACGCTGTACACGCCGAAATTGATGGAGCTCGAGCCGCCCATGCACCGACCGCGACTGTAGTCGATCTCACGGTTGTTGCAGTCCGCCTGCGGAATCGTCTTGAATCCCCAGTTCATTGACTGGTCATGGAAAGTGAGCCATCGCTGACCGTCAATGCGAAAGTTGCGATCTTCCCTGTTATCACCTGCTTCGAGGAGGAGGATGCGGGGCTTGGAGGTCGAATTAGCGAGGTCGGCGGCGAGGACGCAGCCGGACGGGCCACCTGCAAGACGTGTTAAGGGGGCTCGGGCCAACGCTGTTCGGGTCAACTGGATATCACTCACTCCCAACGACAATAAAATCAAAGGTGGACATAGTGTGAAATGAGCGGGTTAGATGATGCGGATGTCGGTTAGGAATGAAAACACCCAAAATACACACAGCGATAAACAAACTAGTATTTCCAAATTATTGGGCGGGAAGAAGAAGTAAATAAATACGCGATTTTCACCGGAGAACAGCGGAGATACCAATAGGGGGACCCTATTCCCAAAGTGGTAATTCGAGGAATTCTTGAAGCTCTACTCCGTATAACATGATGAACAGGCTGCTGCAAGAATTGGACCAATGAAATGCTGGCTTGTAAAATATCCCCACAATACCTGTAACGGTCGTGCAGCGATGACCGAAGGTGCCTCCCGTGTCGGGCACACGGATCGTCGGCCCCGTGCCAATTACAGGGGCCGGCCCCTCTTAAGCGGGTGGATCATGTGGGGCCTGACACAAACTTACCCCCCTCGTAGGAATTCTGTCAACGTGGCTCTGCTAAGCCTGAGCTAATTTTCAGTTACGCTCTGTAATGAAATTACCACAAAATACTTTATCCTTCATAGATCAATCTGTTCTCCATAGTTGAATCAAGGAGAGGTCTTTTAGACCAGTAAAGATTCACTCACGAAAAATTCTCGAACTAACTACACGCCATATGTCTTCATAATTAGGCCTTCGTACCTAATAGATCCTTCTAGTTGGTTGTTCAAAACCAGTTTCATACTAGCGTCAACTGACCGGCCGGAATTATGAAGACATTTTTCTTACGGACGGGGGTACATGGATGATCTTCCAGGGGTTGACTATTTGCGCTATGTAGTTAGCTTGACAAGCTAGTTGGTTAGATAACCTGTACTCCGTACGGAGTACGGAGTACCTGTAACTCTTTACGTGCTGATGATTTCCTGCGGACCGTTCTGGCTGGAGCCCTTCTTTTTAATTCTCTCCAACTCCCGCTTTCATCTTCCGTTGTTTTGTCCTCTGCTTTGCCGAGCACTCGAAATAATGGCCAGTAAAGCCGAGGCATGGATTCTGATGTCCCTTGCTCTGCTCACGATTTTAGTGCGTATCGGAGTGCGATGGAAGCTTGTGGGGCCGGCCAATTTCCAACTTGACGATTATCTCATGCCAGCGGCGGGAGTAAGCTGCCTGTCCTGTAAACACCATTGAAAGAAGTCACAATTAACATAGTGTGCTTCCACAGATTGTCTTCATATTTGAAACAATAGCGGCGTACCTTGTCAGTTCCAGATTTCATGACCTGACTAATGCCTACATGACGCCTGAGCAGCGAGCAGCGGTCGACCCGCATTCGACTGAGTGGTCCTATCGTGTTTCCGGATCCAAGCTCCAGATCATTGGATGGTCACTATACGTGGATATTCTCTGGCTAGTCAAAATTAGCTTAGCAGTCTTCTACTCTCGATTGACGTGCGGTCCACACATCAACTGGGATACGATGAACCAAGGCACTGACTATCTTACAGGACTGGCCTCCAAAACCTCCCCGCGCGAGTTCGGTTGTCATACGTCATTTTGGGTGTGACATACGTCGTAACAACATTGGTCCTCTTGCTCTCATGCCAACCCTTCCATGCCTTTTGGCAGATTAACCCAGACCCCGGCAGTAAGTTCTACCGCCATTAATTATACTGAGCGTCTTATCTTAATTTGTTTGCATAGATCACTGTCAGCCATCCAACTCACGGGTTTATGTTCTCGTTGTCGTGGTGTGCAACGTTCTCACAGACGCCTACCTTCTCTCAATCCCTCTTCCCCTTCTCTGGACTGTTAACCTCAACCTGAAACGAAAGCTCCCCCTTATGTTTCTCTTCTCCGGTGCCGTATTTGTTATGATGGCAGGTGTCATTCGGTCTGCTACAATTATGAAGGTACGTCCCATGCAAGCAGAAACACACGCCAATGATTTGTCATAGATCTGACTCGTATACTATAGTCTAACCCCGATGGGGCTGAATCCGGCTCGAGATGGGCTTGCCGTGAGACTTTTGTCTCAATAGTTGTTTCCAACTTACCGATCATTCAACCTCTTATCCGCAAGATCTTCAAGAAGATTGGTCTCTCAACTGTTTTCAGTTCCTCGGAGAAGACAACAGGAAACCCATACCAGCTCTCCAGCCGAGGCATGAAGACCTTGACAAATCGCGGCGAAGGCGACAACAAGAGAAGCAAGACGAACGCTGCTGCGCCGACGCATATGCAAGCTTCCGCATGGGGTAGCGATGAGCACATTCTCGGTCATTCTGAGCCGTCCTCCAACAATATTACTGTTATCTCGGAGACTATCGTGCGCAGTGAGCCATGGATAATCGAGGATGGTTCCGGTACGATTGATTCAACGACACCCCCAAAGGATTGGAGGAGTCCGTTGTCTCATCAATGAGAGCCACAGATATATCATGAGATGTACTTTTATCATTAGATGTGTTAGACCCTTAATGACTATAGGGCTATATGGACCACGGTTAGCATAATTATTAATAGGATAGATTCTTCCGATCATGGGATGGCACATGAAAACATTGGCATCAACGGCGTTTCCCCTTTGTTTCTCCCGTTTATTTCTGTAAAATTAGACAAGTATTGCAAAAAAATACACTTCGATGTTCGGGGATTAGACCAAGTCTTTATATAATATATTTTTCACGGCGCTAAGATATGGAAATAGACACTATTTTTGTTTAAACAGATTTAGCTTGAGACAAGAGACATGTTTTGTCCCCAATCTTCTATCACTGATCCACAAAATCCACCGCATGCGTCTTGTACAAAGTACTAGAATCCAGGATCTCTCCAGTAGAAGACCTCACGAAATCAACCCGCAAGTGCTGCTCATCCAAAAAGCTAAGCGTGCTGTAGCTATAGTCATCGGCATACGCAAACTCCGTATAGGTAGGCTGGCTGCCAATAGAGCTCAACCCCTCAATATTACCCGGACCGCCAGCAATAATATACATGGGCGCCTTAGGGTTCTCCATGCCGTTGGGATCGGCGGTGCCATTAACAACAGGTGCAAACCGCTGCGAGTTGTGCACATGGCCAAAAACACCGACATCAACGCCGTACTGGTAAAACAGACCCTCAAACGCCTCTTGGCAGGGACCGCAGATGCTCGACGATCCTCCAGTTGAGTACCACGGTCTGTGCCCGGCAACAATTAGCCAAGGGGTAACACTTCGATCGACGGAAGCGAGGTCAGCCTTGAGGAAGTCGAGCTGCTGATTTGGAGCACCAAATGGCCCCCCGTTCAGCTTAGCGGAGCCATCTTTTCCGCTTGGTGCATTAGGGAAATCTGTTTCGGTGTCGATCATGACGACATGGGCCATGCCGTACTCGAAAGAATACCAAAAGGGTGGGTTTGAGAGGTTGCGGGCTGTGCGAGCCAGGGTTTGGGCTGCTGTGTTGGATGACGAAGAAACAAAAGACTGCGGCATGAGATTCTCGTAACGGTGCATAAATTCAGTGAAGTTATTTTGGCCTTTAGGGCAAAGGTCGTTCAAGTATGGAATCTCTGAACAGTCTGCTTCGTGATTTCCGGGGCTGGCCATGTAGAGCTTGCGGCCTGCGATTGGTGCGAGCTGGTCGTAGAATTGTTCGATAATGGCCTCGTAGGCTTCTTTGCCATCCAGCAAGTTTGCGAACTTGAGATACCAGTCGTCGGCGTAAGCGAAGTCTCCTGGGTGGATGACGAGCTCGTAATCGTTGATCGTTTCCGCGAGGCGACCAATTGTGGCGTGGTTTAGTTCTGGCTCCACAACTGGGATGGTGTCCTTTTTTGTGCTTTGAGATGTGAAGCCATTTTTGCCGTAGACACCAAGATCAATGACCACGTCCATGCTGAACGCAGTTTTATCGCCGGGTGTGCGAGGGCTGAGGAAATGGCCCACTGTCGAGTTTGTGGACTCGATCTTATAGTAGTAGGTTGTCCCGGGGGTCAGGCCTGTTAGGATGGCGACATTCGACCACGTCCGGGAGGGGTCGTAGGTGGTCGACGAAGATGAGCAAGCTTTGGTGTTCAGGTTGCTTTCTGACAAGCCATAGCTCACGCAACTTTGTTCCAGCTGTCCATAGGTATTCCAACCAACCGACACAGCTAGAGGAGATCAAGTCAGCCCTCATTCAAAACTCACTATGTTTAGCAGCTTTCTCACCATTAGGTCCATAGACTGCCAATCGCTGCTGGAATGGTGTAGTCAAATCCGTCGGAATCTGAGGATATGTGACACCAGCAATGACGCAACTAGCCACGAAGGGCAACAATTTGAGGAACGAAATTCCACCCATGACCATCTAATGTTGTTTTTTACAGATTTCCGAAATCCCAGGTCTCACAAGCACTTGGTGCTTCGGCTCTATATACAATTCCATGTCTCGGAGCAGGTGCCATAAGCATAACCTATTGCGCATCATGCAATGCAATCAAAGCCAATCATGCCCGACATGCAAGGCACGTCGCTCATTCTGCAGATCGTTTTTATGCGTTGTCACCTTGGCTTACGACTCATGTTTGACATACGGATCCACTACAGTGGTTTAGGATTAGTGAAGATAGAATAGAAAGCGAAAATTCGGAGATGGGTCAACTTTCGGCGACGGGATGGTTAGACTTCGGAGGTAATTTACTGGCCGACCCAGTTTGGCGTGCACGTGTAACAACATGATGGATCGGTTGGTTTTCTGGAGGATATCGTCAACTTAGTTGATTTTCGCATGTGGTTGTAAATATCCGAAGAAAGGCATATGTTTTCGACTTCAAAAGTGATGCCCATGGTGTCAACTGTGTTGCAAAAAGCAAGCCGGAAGAAGAGGAAAGATGATTGAATTTGTGATCTTTGGTACTTATGACACTGAGTACCGACCGGATTTGGGCCGAAAAAGATGCTAGACTGGTTTTTTAGCCTGCGTACTTGCCTCGCGTAGCTGCTCAATATTGCTACACCCTTGCCACACCTCTGCTTTGCAACTCCATTCCCGAGGAACTTGCTGGGATGCAAAAAATGGCGGATGCCAACTCTATTCCCGACTGTACATATCCCTGCCTGTGAGGATCGATAGATTCAGGGGGTGGCAATTACAGGCTAAGATATAGTCTAGGCTGATTCCTAGGTTCATCGGTCTGTATGTGAAATACACCAAGAAAGAGAGAGAGAGAGAGAGAGAGAGAGAGAGAAGTAAGAC